CGTTTAGTTGAGTCACTAGAAGAAAGATATTTTTTAAAGAAAAAAATAATATAGAGTGTTTTAGATTAAAGCATATTGATGTATTCCTTCCATTACGTTAGATAAATGAGTATGAACGTTTATGATGAAGTGGTAATCAGAAACAAAAAACGACGACGAAATCGCACTGAGGTCAAATATCACATGTAAATAATCACGATTACAATTAATAATGCAATTTGAATGGCCAGAAACACTATACGACATTGACTTTGATTTTTCTTTCGGTCAAACTATAAAGAAATGGATAGAAAGTAGATGTTTAGTTAGGTACATTCTATTTGTTATAAGAACATGCGTAATAGGTAAATTACGAGCCTTGTATGAAACGACTGAAGAAGAGGGCTAATAGGCCTTTCAGTCATAACTACAAGTCGCGTAAAAAATGAGCCAGCTCAACTAGAAACCGTGGACAGCTGTTTCCACAGTTTCTAGTTGAGCTGGCTAATTTTTACGCGACTTGAAGTTGTGAAAGGCCCATTGGCCCTCTTCTTCAGTCGTTTCATACAAGGCTCGTATTACGCATGTTCTTATATGATTTCCGTGCCCATCCCACACGGCTTACCGCCTCATCTCTCTATTTGTTATAGATCATAATCAATCTTTATAGTGCTTACATTGTTCTCTACCTTCACATCCCCATAATACTTTGCGTCTTTGGGGGGTAACCAGAGGGTAAAAACCCACTTATTTTGCTAAGGCTGATCAGACAATGTTGACAATACCTTGTTTGGTATCCAAAAATAAAATGAAGAAGTAAGAAACAGAAAAAGATAGAAGCTTGAAGTTGTTTAAGATAAAATTATACTTACATCAGATACATAAGTACATAATGATAAGGTACATGACAGGGTAGATAAAGGCTAAAGTTACGAATGAAGAGGTAAATGGTAGTTAAGATAAGGTATATCATAACTTATAAAATAACCAAAAAACGAAGTGAAAATGAACAAAGTGAAGAAAAGTCAATTTCGACCTGTAAGCTAAGCAAGAGGTCAAACATGCGCATGCGTACTCACGCCATACATAATGTGCTTTATTTATACCATACATAGTTATTGCCGTTATAATATTGATGATATTCATAAAGCCGTACTACTTTAAGAATTTAAGCTCAGATTTAAGATTGGGGAAGGTGATGGAGCAGTTATAATCTGATAACAGCGTTCGGTTACTTCAACTTATTCTAATCACTTTTATTGCGTAATACTGAATTATTAAATACCATTAAAGAATAAGCGAAAACAGCCAGTAGTGAAAAAAATTAGTCAGAAACATCTTCTATGTTGTCATGAGACATAATCTCCATAGTACGAGCTTAGTGTAAAAATCATGCTTTTGTCCATGTGAAAAGTTTGCAAACGTAACTAATAAAAACGGGGAAAATTTGTGCTATTGCGCGTTCTTGGCACAGTCACTTTTGTTTACCTGTTTATCAAGATTTCTTGTACGAAGTTTTTTTAATTTTTAAAAACTTGTAAGTTGACACACCACGTCAATGCGTCATCTTGTAATTATAAGTAACTGAATGATGGTAATTGAAAAATTAACAATTTACAAGCTTTGCTATGAAGGTCATACCGTTATAGTGTAGGCCAATTACGTGGGTACGAACTTTGAAAGAGTCAGAGAATTTTTTGCAGGGGGAAAAACCGGATAATTCTGCCCAGAAGAAATCCTCGAAACGCAGCCTTATTTGTGTGTTAGCAGATTCTTTATATTGAATTCTCTTAAACTGCGCTTACAGCACTGGGTTGTATATCATAAATGAACTTGCAATAGTATTTTCTAATCGCTCGTGATTGTTGATATTGATTTGCGGCATGGGCCGGCAGATATTCCCAAAACTGATTGAACAAACCGTATTCAACTTTATCTATAATTTGAAATGATTGTGTAATTATTTAGGATTTTGTTATGTAAAAAAGAACAATTTTTAAAAAAAATCCGATTTATTTCCTGCATCAAAGAAAGATTTCTTAAACCAAAATAGGAAAGCAAAGAAAGAAAAATTATAAAACAAGCTTAAACCTAATTATTTATAAAGATTTTCTCATCAGATATTGAATAATTTTCTTTTCCGGGATCAAACAAACCCCAGTTTAAAAGAAAGAAGTCTTCCCGATGTTTGTTGATTACTCCGTTTGTTTGTTTCGTTATCATTAGTGCATTCCTCAAAATACACTAGAGTTGTCATCAATTATAGTTATTTCACATTCTAACGACTACAACAATAAAAAAACAAAAGATGAAAAGGAAAGAATAGAAATATAATATTTACCAATTATCGGTTAGTCAGGAGTCATGAAAAAAACTACACGAGCCCGAGAAAACAAAAGCAATGCCATGCGTTGTTGAGATGTTTACGCAAATGAACTTTGCCATTCATACGATTCAGATTTTATTTTATTTTATTTTATTTTATTTTATTTTATTTTATTT